ACTTCTGACTAGCTAAAACCAGCTTTTAAAAGTTGTTTTACTTAGAGACTTCAGACTCATCTAAGTAAATTTAATTTAAATGTAGTATTTAAAGATAACTGTGATTGGATAATATAGAGTGATAGTTTCTCCAGTTTCTACCTCTTTGAAATTGTTTTCTAAAAGTGTTCTACTGTTTATCTCAATGTCTTAAAAATTTTTGGTAACTCGAATTTTTATTAATGTTATTTCCTGTTTCTGTGACATTTTACCAGTGTTTAAATGTCACAATTTATTACCACCAGGTGCAGTGACACATGCCTATAATTTCAACTACTTGGGAGGCTGAGAGAGGGGGATCACAAGTTGGCAACTTAGCAAGACCCTGTCTCAAAATAAAAAGGACTGGGGATGTCGCTCAGTGGTAAAGCACTCCAGGGTTCAATCCCTATTACCGCCACCCTCCCACCACACACACAAAATTAAGTACCAGTATTATCATTTAACCTATCCTCTCTGAGATGGTAGGTTTTAAATTTTTGTTGTTGAAAATGTCACTCTGTGTCCTAAGCTGGATTGAACTTTCAAACTCAAGAGATCTTCCTGCCTCAGCCTCCCAATTAGCTGTGAATGCAGACATGCTCCACCAAACCCACTGTTTTGAAAAAGATTTTTTCCCCATTATATGGCTAATGTTTTGTAATTGAACTACCCCCACATTTTCTTGTCTTGAGTCTTTTCATGAGCTACTGTCATCCATGTAATATTTTGGTGATTAGGAGAGAGATAGCCATAGAAAAATTTTGTAAAGACCCCTAAGAAAATTTCAGTCTGGATCTCATATCTGTCAGTTTCTGAAAGATGGTATAAATACTTAAATGACAGTGTAAAATACTTAAGCTGAATCCTGAAGTATTAATGGGGAACTGGAGAGAAAATTACTCAGAGACAATGTCCTAGCTACAAAATCACATGAATAATTCAAAGAAATGGCTTGGGCTCCTTTCTCCCACTGCCACTCCCTATTCCCCTTCCCCATCAAAGAACGATATATAGACAGATGGATGAATGAATAGAAAGAGGAAGCAAACAGTGGCATGGATGCATACGAATTCTGTCAATCTCTATGATTTTAAAACCCTTTAAGTGAATGTTTTAAAGATGCTTTTCTGAAGTCCTAAGTTTTGTTTTAAAAGGAGTACTAACATGCATAAGGTCCTGGGGGTTTGATCCCTACCACCAAAAGCAAATAAATAATTAAAAATAAAAAATAAAAAAGGAGTAGAGATAGTTATGTGTATAATATAATAAATTACTGAGAAACTTTTAATGAATCTGGCCTGTGGATCCATAGATTTATTGTATTATACTTTGTAAATTTTTATACATCCTTTAATTCCCACAAAATTGGTTTACATTTATTCCTCCTTTTTTTCTCAGTTATTTCAATATTAAGCCTTTTTTTTTTTTTTTCCAATGGGACATGTTAAAATTTGTTGGTATACCTTTGTCCCAGAACAGTTTGGTAAGTGCTTCTGTAGGTAAATGTAGTCCTATTAAATAGGACTATAATATCAGCCATTTTATTTATATATTTATTTATTTACTTATTTTGCAGTGATGGGGAATGAACCCAACACTTCACATTTGCTAGGCATTTTCTGTACAGCTGAGCTACATCTGCAGCCCATTGGTTTTGGTTTTTTGTTTTTTTAATTTCTTTTACAGTTGTAGATGGACAGCATGCTTTTATTTTATTTATTTTTTTATGTGATGCTGAGGATTGAACCCAGTGCCTCACAGAGGCATCTTAGGCAAATGCACTGAGCTACAGTCCTAGCCCATGCCCATTGGTTTTTGGGGCATTTTTTTGTTGTTGTTTGTTTTTTAACATTTATTTTTTAGTTTTAGATGGACACAATACCTTTATTTTATTTTTATGTGGTGCACAGAATTGTGCCTCACACATGCTAGGCAAGCACTCTACTTCTGAGCCATAACACCCAGCCACCTACTGGTTTTTTAAATTAAGATTTGTAGTCTTTTTTTCATAAGTCTTCAAAGTAAGCCTTTTCCCTTTAGTATATATCAATTCAGACATGCTCATAGTAGGCACATAGAGCTAGTGTCTACTATAATTGGACAGTGCAGGTATAATGTAGATATGAAAGTAGTTAAAAATAAAAATGAAGAAGACAAAATTTTCCTTTCTTTACAGTGCCGGGAAATGAACCCAAAGACTTGGCTCATGCTAGATACACTATTGTTTAAAAAGTCATTTTCTTTTGTGTATTCCCAGTGTGAGGATTTTTTTTTTTTAATTCTAAAACCTTTCAGTCATAAGGTACCTGGCAGGTTTCTGTTAATAACAAATATAGTATTTTCCTCTTTTTAATGTGAATTAAAAGGAAAGTGGACACTTAAGTTATGCCTGTCCTAAAAATATGCTTGGAGAACGGGAGCCTCCAAAGAAGAAAGAAAAAAAGAAAAAAAAGAAAATTCCTGAACCAGAAGAAGAAATGTATGTATATCTATTATGACCTTAGTGTGTTGATTTGTCTTTTTACTGTTGATTAATTGCATGTTGATCTCCCACACACACACCCTTCTCTCTCTCTTTAATAATTTAGTGAAGAAGTAGAAGAAAGTGAAGATGAAGGGGAAGATCCTGCTCTTGACAGTCTAAGTCAGGCCATTGCATTTCAGGTACTAAATTTTTTTTTTTTTTAAGTACTATGTTGTAGTTACAAAGATTTATAGTTCTTGCTTGCTTTTTCTCTTTTCTTTTTTTGGTGCTAAATTGAACCCAGGAGCACTTTACCACTGAGCTACAGCCCTATCCCTTTCTATTTTTTATTTTGAGACAGGACAGGTCTTGCTAAATTTCCCAGGCTGACCTAAAAATTGGGATTCTCCTGCCGCAGCCACACCAGTCACAGAGATTATAGGTGTGCAGCCTCCACACCTAGCAGCCCTTACTCACTTTATTGACTGTCTCCTCGTGGAAGCCTCTATCTTTCCCCTTCACCTCCTAAATTTGAGATTACAGAATGTTCCTCTAACAAATGGAAATGAAAAGTTCCCATTTGTTCTTTCTAAATTTTAAGAAAAACATTGAAATATTTTTAGTTTCCTATTTTCATTATAGAATTGAGCAGAATTATTTGATTAAAGTGAGTTTAGCTCAACCAAAAAGACTTTTCAGAAATTACCTAGGAAAAGCCAGGCACAATGACACATGCCTATATCCCAGCAGCTCAGGAGGCTGAGGCAGGAGGATTACGAGTTCAGAGCCAGCTCAGCAATTTAGGGAGGCCCTGAGCAACTCAGCAAGATCCTATCTCTAAATAAAATATAAAAAGTGCTGGGGATGTGGTTCAGCACCCCTGGGTTCAATCCCTGGTA